GTCACCTCAGATGACCTAGAGGTCTTCAGATCTCGGTTATCTGTGTCACTGGCCTAAATTCCATCTTTTTATCCTGTTTTTAACAATGCACACTCCAAAAATGTCATTTTAATCAACGTGAATTGATGATTGTGGACATTACTTGGCAGAAGAAGAAGCATCCGTCTAGAGTTCAGAGGGTCCCGGTTTGGCTGTGCATTTTTCCTCTCCTGTTATCTTAGTAGATAATAAAAACTTTCAGAAGCAGTTGATTTTATAAATCATATTTCATTTGTTTAGATATTATTAGATAACACCTTTCCATATAAGCAATTCGCATTCACTAAGTCCTGTTTGAAAAACATAAATCAATAATCAGACAAGAACATTTGTCCGCATTAGAGCCATTTTGGTCTTTGTGGAGTATAACATATAGATATATTTTCGAAAATATGCCATGGCTATTTTGTGCGAGAGTAAACAAGTGCTTCATTGGCAACCAGGCGTAACATGTTATTCCACGGATGTATCCCTGTATTTAAAGACACAATATGTCATTATAAACAACCTATACCTTTTTACTTAGATACACAAACATTGTGAATGTTGTTTCTTGTGTATTAATAAGAGTAGATTAAATCGTCTTGAAACAGTGTCGGCGAATATTTCACATCGCCGCCATCGCTGGAATGTCCAATCTCGCGAGAAAAGACGTGACCTCAGCCTGATATACCACGTGATCGTTCTTTTCTCGCCAGTCGACCGAACCGAGAAGGTGTGGAAAAATTTGCTCAAGATTTTCGTCGATTTATAGCATATAATATAACGATTTAACTATGATTATTGATTTGTTTTTAAATAAACTGATTTTTAATAAGAATTGTTTCTTAATTTCAGGACATATCTCGCCCAAAACTTCAAAATGCCGCCAACGAAAAAAAACGTAAGTGAATATGGCTGCCATGTGGCGAGCACGTGGATTTTTTCAATGGAAGAGAAGGGGGGAGGAGGGGTGTTGTAGCCAAAAAGTAGCCTTACAGGATCCAGCAATTTGTAAATGGATGATTTAGAAAGGGCCTTGCATTACGACGATTGTACATTTTTGTAAGAGATTAAAAAACAATTGTGGATGCCTTTTATTTGGAACTTGTTTAATTTGACAATTGCACTTTTCTATGAGATTTACGAAAATTGTATTTTGATTGCATGAACTGGGAAACATAAATGAGTAGGAAATAACTGGGAAACATAAATGAGATAGAAATAACTGGGAAACATAATGAGATAGAAATAACCGATGAACATAATTGAGATGGAAACAACGGAACCTTTGAACTTGAAATGTTGCAAATAAATAGTATTGTGAATTTTTCTATTTGTGATTGTAGAAGAAGAGTATCGAGAACATCAACTCTCGGCTGGCTCTTGTTATGAAGAGTGGCAAATATGTCCTCGGCTACAAACAAACGCTGAAGACACTCCGACAGGGCAAGGCTAAGCTGGTCATCATCGCCAACAACACCCCACCCTTAAGGTAAGTTCAACCTTAATAAACTTGCCAACAATGAAATGATGAACATCGACTGAAGGTAAAGTTTTGAATATTTTTCAAATGAAGAGGAAAAATAAATCAAGGAAAAACGTCAATTAATTTTACAAGAAAACTTTGGTTTCTTTTCCAAATAAAAACAACCGAAATATTTTTTATTAGTAAA